ATTAATGAATTTCATCACAGATATTGAGATAACTATACAACATTGAGTTGAAACTCTACACTGAGATAATGAAGAAGAGTTCAAAAGTCAAGAACTTAAGACCTACTATCAGAGTAAAGAAATAATGTATGAAATGACTACATCTGACACATCACAATCAAATGACTCAGCAGAACACATGAATCAAATAGTAGTAGAAAAGATATAAAGCCTACTATTTAATAGTGAATTAGAAAGAGAACTTTGAGATAAAGTAATATAAGCTGTGATTATAATGATCAACACATTCTCAACATTAATAAAGATATTTAAATACAAAGAAGAAACATCACTTATATCTTTTAAAGTATGAACTGAGGTGTAATCTTCTGTTCATTGAATACAGAGATGAGAATGCAAGATCTATAAGAAGAATTTGAAAGTGTTAAATAAGCTTGCAGATAGAACTGATGACAGGAAATGACAGCTGATTAAATATTAAGAATTACATTAATATCATATGTGAAATTCTGTTGCATGTCATCTTGAGATTGCATGAGATGTCATATTTGATGAAGCTCTTGACATGAGTGCAAATACACCTGTAAATACAGTGAGAGAATTCAATGAATTGTCTAATGAATTGAATATTCTGAATATCAGAGAGAGATGACAGCACTGCTTACTATAACATCTAGTGAAGAAAAAGTCAGATGTTTTGAAGATAATTGTAAATAAGAACTTAGAGAGTGTAATTGATTCAATCTATCTTCTAGATAATAAGACACAGTTTATCATGAATGAAGAGTCTGAAGATCTCATTAATAAGAATGATTCTGTTCTAAGTATTCTGACAGACTGATCAACTACACTGACAGAAGTCAAAAGAAGTTCAGACTGAGACTATTAATATAAGACAATGAAAAAGAAGATTAAGATATTTGAATAGAAGAAGATATATATTGTCATTGAAAAGGCCTCAGAAATGAATATTCTTACAGATAAATGAGTATATAATCAGAAATTCAATAATAAGAAAGAAATCATCTGCTTTAGAGCTTACTGAGTGATTAGAGAGTTCTTGCAATAGCAGAGTATTTATTATATAAGATTATATACTGCAGTGATATCAGAGTCTACATCATGCAGTCTATTCACTATATTGACTATCAAAGAATGAAAGGTCAAATCAATTGACTATGTATTCGCATTTTTGAATGATATACTATCACAGAATGAGATGATCTATATACAACTGCTCATAGATGTTAAGTATGACAGAGAAGACTTGATGAAACTACTCTGTCAGAGTCTATATGAAATAAAGCAAGCTGTAAGAGTATGGTATTTTCTAGCAATGAAACACCTCATTACATTGAAATTCAAGATATCATCTTATAATGATAAATTTCTATATTATTCTATTCACAAGATCTATCTGATATTGTATGTTAATAATTGTCAGGTGACAGAATCTCAAGAATAGTAATTAGACTGAGTATTGAGAAAGATTGCAAAGAGATTTGAGATAAAGAATATTGAAGAGATTAAGTCATATCTTAAGATGAAGATTAAATATCAGAGAAATGATGATCTAGCAGTTACACAGAGCTGTTATATTGAGAAGATTCTTGAAGATTTTAATATGAATAAGATGAATCCTGTGAGAATCTCTATAATAACAGATATACAACTGGAATTTTCATCTGATGAGAATAATGAATTAAATGATAACTTTACAGCTATAAGATATTGTCAAGAATTGAGATTATTGCAGTATTTAGTCTCAAGCAGCTGATCAGATCTGATATTCATAGTCAACTATCTCTTATATTTTAACTTATGTTTATACAGAGCATGTTGAGCAGTGTTGAAGCATGTTCTACATTATATCAAGAAGATGAAAAATCATGGCATATTGTATAAGAAGAAGATAGAAGATAGTCTGAGTTCTATGACATACTGTGATTTGAACTGAGCAGGGGTGAATTCTCAATACAAATCAACTACCAGCTATATTATATTGATTAACAGATCACTGATTTCATGACAGTTGCAGAGACAGACATCTATTATTAAATCAATCACAGAAGCTGAATATATTACAGCTAGTAAGACAGCTTATGAGATAATCTGATTGAATGATATATTATATGACACTAAGTTGATAAATGATGAAAAAGTGAAAATATGCTCATATCTATAAGTTAATAATAAGAGAGCAATTGATCTAGCAAAGGAGGAATTCTTAACACAAAGATCACATTATATTGAGATTAGATATCATATTCTCTGTGATTTGATTGAAAAAGGGAAAATCATGATGAAACATGTTGATTCTACAGTGAACATAGCTGACAAGCTCACCAAGCCACTGGTGAAGCCTGCATTTGAAGAATTTGTCAAGAGGATTGGCATTCAGAAAATTGAGAAGAAGGAATGATTGAATGATAATGATGATACAGCAGATCAATGGATTTTACATGTATTTCTTGATTTTTACAGTTATTGCTGTACGGATGCCTTTCCTAATGAGGAAATCAGGGTCCGATTCATGTAATTAATTATTATTGCATTTTTGAAAGATTTGAGGATGAGGGAGGCCCCGGGTGGCGGCTTATTATAGGCCACAGTGTAGCAAGGGGAGGTGTTGGTGATTACTACACCTACCCTAGTCACGTGCCACCCCAACCTATTCATTTAGTGTAACTCGCGTAGTTAGATTACAACACAACAACATTATCCTCCAAGACCTACCCTAGTCACGTGCCACCTCAACCTATCCATTTAGTAACTCGCGTAGTTAGATTACAACACAACAACGTTATCCTCCAAGACTCTGTAGATCTCCCTACGTCTCGTTACTGAAACCAACCCAGAAAATTTCATAATCTAGCAATTTCACCCGCAATCCATTTCGCTTGCAATCAATCGCTATTCCGCTCGCTTGCTCGCGATTCATTTCGCCCGCAATTCTTTTGACTCCCCTACACAGCTCTCTGGCTTCAAAGAAGCCGCGAATGTTGCCACGTGTGATTTCTTTCAATAAAATTTCAAATGACTGGGCTTCCTTGAACTGATGATGAGATATCAGCTGGTAGCGCACTGCAGCGCTTTCTGTTATTGTTCCCCACTCAATATCACTGTGTTTTTTATACTGAGAAGTAAAAGCACAGAAGTATTCTGAGTACAGTATTGAAATGAGATGATTACTCTGTCAGTAAGAATAGAGAGTGATGAAAGTTAAAACTGAAGAGCAGAATCATTATTCAAAATTTTATAGAATTGTTAAGAGAAAAACATATTTATTTGAGCTGTGAGTTCTTGATTATCACAGAGTCATAGAAATCAGTTCAATAACCTCTGCTATTTACAGGTCAGTATGATTATAAGTTGGCTGTCTCTGAGTCTATCAGGTTCATGAATCACAATTCATGAACTTATCAGGCCTACTGAACTCTGTCTTTAGCATGGTGATCTAGGTCATCAGCTCTACTACATATGTTCTTAAGCACTGATTATAGTATCTCTTTTCTTAGTCATTATACTACTGACTGTATAATGTAGTCTCTGATCTTTTATTAATCTTCTTCTATCACTATGCCTCTGATCTGATTGAACTTCAGCTCTCAGATACAGATACAGTTTTAAGAAAATATTAATATTAATGAAAACTCTCAGCAGAAGACTGCACTGTCTGAACTCTTATTATCACTTTTCTTACTCTAAGTATATATATATGAGCTTCTTTCTGTCTTGAATTCATCTCTTTTTCAATTTCTTTTTCATCTCTTATTCTACACTATTGACTGAAACCTGCTGTGAAGCTCTTATATACTCAAAGATAACTCAGTAAATATAACAGAATCTGTTTTCTCTCTCTAGAGCTCTTTATCATTTCACTTTACTGATCTGTGACACAGTTATCTTTTTATCTCTTAGCTATGACATCAGTTAATAATCTTTATACTGTGATTATCATTTCAGATGAAAAAATGAATAAACAGTCTCTGATATGAAGAATATAAAGATTATAAAGAAAGAGATTATACACAGACTATAGCTATTCAGTCTATGATGAATCTGATGATTTAACAATCTCTGATTCTCTGAAGTCTGAAATGAAGCAGTTACTAAAAAAATAAAAAATATTCAATTTTAACATGATTTTGATAAGACTCTTCTTTGTAAGACTTGATAAGACTTCTTTCTCACTAATATCAAGATAGAAAAGAGTGAATCAGAAAATTCATACTATTTTCAAGACTGAGTGTATAAAGAGAAGAAAGCTAGAAGAAGAAGTACAGCATCTGTATACAGAGATAACTAAGCTTAAGACTAAACTTCAGAAGTTAAAGTATTAATTTAAATATGAGATCTACTATAGTATCTTATTAAAGTAAAGAATTCTTCTGCTGTGTGAATATCAGTTTTATATAAGATATCTTTATACTGTTATTGATAATAACTGTTCAAAGTGTCATAGTTCTATCACTAATATTCTCAAGAGCTATTAGAATTAGATAGAGCTGTTTTCTCTCATTCTTTTTAATCAGTGTTAGAAACATTATCTTGAATGTGATTTTATTCTAGTTTTAAGGTATTGCTTATCTCTTTTAAACACTACTTATATAAGCTTTTTAAGAAGAGTTAGTGCCTTCTTCCCTCTCTGAGAAGAAAATATATTTTTAAAGAGATTATTTATAAGACATCAATTAGGGGATTTTGACTGAATCAACTATTGATACAAAACAAATCTAAGCAGCTAACTAACTAGAAATGAAAAGATTGAGTCATCTCTCTGTATCAGCACTGATGTAATCCACATGATCTTAGTAACATTCAATTATTCTGCTATCTGTCCTACTATCTGATACATCTCATCCCCTTCTCACTTATACACCAGCTTCAGAATCACCTGAGAAAGGGGCAAAATAATGTATTCTTGATAATCTAGTGTCTTCTCTAACGCATCGCCTTCCTAACGGCCGGACACTAATAATTTGCTCTGATCAGTGGACTCAGACGTGGCACTCCTCACCTGGGCGTGGGTCAGCCTCGATGGAACTATCAGAGTAATTCAACGGCTCCTTTAATGTGTTGCCTTCGTGATTGTCTGAGGCTAGGGGAGGGGTTGGCTCTCGTCGATTGGGTGGGTCATCGGCAACGTCACTTTGGCTTGGGTGAGCCTCCTCGATGGGGTTGTCGGAAAAATCCGACAGTTGGAGTGATGGTGGGGTAACATCGACCGGGGAGGAGTCGAACAGGATCCATTCGTCCCAGTTAATGTCATCGAGACCAGAGACGGTGGATGGCAGGGCAGAAAAACCAGCAAACTCCTCACTTGCTGCATCCTTAGAGAGGTCACCGGACGCAGGGAAGAGGGGCACGGGCATGGGCATTGGAAGGAGGTGCTGGGGCTCTTCGCCTGGCCGAGGATCAGAAGTGCATGCTTCCAGGAGATGCACTGTGTGCAGCTGAGGCGAGGGAGAACCGTCGGCAGGTCCAGGGGAGGTGGTATCGTACGTGAAGGTAGCCATGTTGTGAGGTGAGATGATGGGATGCTCTTCTCCCCTCGATCTCGATCCAGGACTGAAGCAGTGGGTTGCTCCACGTCTTGCCCATCTGCTGGGAACACCCTAATATGGTTTCCCCCCAGGAGTCAGTGAAGTGGTGCCTCACCCCCAAAACTATAGTTCCCTACGGGAAGTTAGGGAATTTGCAAGAATGCTGATGAAGGCAAACCCTTAGAGAGTGTCATGAACTTGTACATAACAGCAATAAAACAGAACCTCATGCAGCGCTGACATCCCTGAGGAGTGCCAGAATTCTGAGTGAAAAGACAACAAAAACCAAAGTCTCATGCAGTGTCAGCATCCCTGAGAAAGTGAGCTCCTTGAGAAGGTGAGTCCCATGCAGAGTTGACATTCTTGAGGAAGTGAGTCTCTTGAGGAGTGTCAGAATTCTGAGTGAAAGAGCAATAAAAAGTGAAATCTCATGTGATATCAGATCCCCTTGAGAAGTAAAGCTCCTTGAGAATACCACATTTTTAAACTATTAGTCACTGGAGTAAAATCCCTGAGAGATGCCATAACCTCAGTAGAGAAGACCATGAAATTAAAAGCCTGTAAGAAGTCAACACTTATCAGAGAATGGCGCCATGCTGAGTGAAAAAGCCACAGAAAAGATGTTATGAAGTTGTCATATTTTTTAAGTGAACAGCCACAGATAATGACAGTTCTTGAGATGGAAAGACCAACTTGAAATCTTATCAATTCTTGGAATTTTAGAGTTCAGCAAGCATCATAGCATTGAGTGTGTTTGAATTTATATGTGAATAGATTGTAGATTCGGCGGCTGCATCATGACACAGACTTGCAAAAGCAGTCAATAAAGCTTAGAGTAGATTTATATTTCAAAAAGAGCTTAGTGATAATTTCAAATTCATTGTAATTTACAACAAATAAAATCTTTCATTATCTTAAATCTGCTCAAGTGTCACTTGCTTTTCCTTCTTCCTCACTCTAGACTTCTGATATTTTATGTAGTTCTCACTCATTGTTCAGAAAGAGAGAGAATAATGTTTCTCCTGTTTCTGTAAGAGCTATGTTTTTTTCCAGGGTTGTACCAGACATGTCACTCACTATATCTTTGTCTGGTGGTGGAAAGTGACTGTTCAAAGCATCAGACTTGTTAAAATTAATTGTAAAGTACTGATTGTCTTCATGGATGAGGAGGTAGACGCCTTTGCAGTGACAGTCATCGAAATAGCTACGTAGCATACGCTGCAGCGTGCCTTTCCGTCGGTAACGCATCTGCACGAGGCTACTGTGCTCAGTCCATGATCTGAGACTTGATTATTATCACTTGATAGGGGAGAGGTCTCAATTTATAGCTATGAGTGAGTGTTGTGCTTCATTAAGTCAAAAGTCACTTTTCAAGGTGTACTTCTGTCGGATCTGACTAGTTGGTTTGCTGCGGTGCTTGCAAGCTTGAGCCATGATCTGTGATCTGAAACTGTAGCACATCATTTTGATTTGTGATTGAACTTGACCACACAATCTGAATACATGGTCATGATTTGCTAACTGAAACTGTGGCTCTCATTATTTTGACTCAATTTTCCACTTAGCCACGCGATCTGATCATTTATACAAAAAGAGAATACAAAAGTATTCTATTCAAAATCACATCATGCAGAAAATGAAATTCATTAATCTGAATAAAAGAATGAAAGTACACAAATGTAGAAATTGAAATTGTAGAAATATAAAAATTGAAACATGCACTTTCATACATCAAGAAACAGCTAAGCCTTGCAGCTTGTTGAATGTGAAGATATTATATTGATTGTTAATCAGGTATGATGAGATGCATAGCACTAGTTCATAATTGAAAGCTCAAACAGAGACTCAGTGTTAGCTGCTAAGAAGCAGCACAGCTGGTTCAATATGAGAAGACCTGCTGAGAATAACATCAGCACGATTCTGTTTATTCTCACAAAACTTAAAAGTATGTAAGACTCAGTGCAAAGATATCATTCTAGGTCTGTAAATTTAGAAAAGTTCTTAGAATAAATGTAGGAATTGTGCTGGAGCAGAAATTGTGCTGTGGCAAGTCTTTTTCTGTGCTCTACTTCTGTGTTAGAACAACTTCTACTACTGCTGTGCTAGAACTACTTCTACTTCTGTGCTGGGACAACTTCTGTGCTGAGACTACTTCTGTGCTGGAACTACTTCTGTGCTGAGACTACTGCTGTGCTGGGACTACTTCTGTGAGACTACTGCTGTGCTGAGACTACTTCTGTGCTAGAACAGCTTCTAGCGATCAGGGCGGTAAGTCTCCAATTGTTTTGAATGCATGCAAAGATGTCTAAGTGTATTCCTTGTTAATCCATGAAAAATTGTTGACTCATCTGAAATGTAATCAACAGAAAACCTGTGCTGTATGGAAACACAAAATGCACTTCACAAGAAAAACCAGGATAAAAAGAATCAGACAGCCATCCAAGTTACAAAAAGTAAAGGTCCACAAAGTACTATGTGAGACAGATGTGAAAAGCAGGAGACTACAAGAGCAGATGAGACCAAGGAGCAGAGAGAGAAAGAAGGGTGTGTACATTACACAGTCAAAGAAAATGAGGAACTCCAGCAAAGGCTGTGTGAGCTTGTGATGGGTCCCTGAAGCAAGGAAAAATATATAAACCGCAGCCGGAAGCACTATGCTGAACTTGAGTATTCGTCCTCTTGGCATAGGGGCCTCGTTGGATATTTCCAACGAGCGTCAGTGACCGCAAGGTGCCCGCTTTTTCCGCCCCGCGATCGAAATTAATTACCCTGTGCCATTAACTTCTATTTACCATGTTATGCTTACTAACTCTAAAGATGAAGAAACAGAATTATTTCTAATCTATCTGAAGGCCCTAAAATTTAAAAAAGGCTGGGTAGGGGAGTCCGAGCGAACTGCTGTGTGAGGCCTTTTCTCAGGGAAAAAGTCTAAAAATGCACTCGTGCATTTTCTACAAGTCTCTTTTTAAGTGAGCAGTAGTATTATTGATTATTAAGATCTCAATACTGATAGAATAAGACAATTTTAACTTCTGATGAGCATATTGAATGAAGCAGTAGTTAAATAATGATTATATCAACAAGGAATTCTGAATTGGCAGTGATTTTTATGCAAAATGAGTCTCATAATCTGTGAAAGGTATAAAGCTTGTGTGATTGAAAGGTTGCTAGCTTGTGGAAAGTTATATGGTGGAGGGATTAGTAAGCCAGATCACGTGACCTGACACAAACAACATTGCTCATTCCTAAGCAGGCCACAACTCTCTCAGTTCCCGTAATTCTTGGTATTATCAACAACCCGAGACGATTCATAACAAGATGCCCATTAAACAACAAATTCAACTGTCAGCGACCCTGAATGGAATGCAAACAGAGATGGACTTTCTTGACTCCTCCTTCTTCACCAAAGCAGGCCATAAGAGCTTGCCAACTGCTGCAGAGGTTGGCTCCCTCTCAGAACAGTTCAACAAACATCCACGGCCCGCACCAGTTAAATTTGAGCATCTAAATCTTCTTGTCAAGTTTGGGCCGTCTGTGGCAGTTGAAGAAGCCCTAACTCTCCGCATGCTTCGAATGTCTTTCGCTGAGAAGATACCTGTCCCGGAGGTGTATGGTTGGAGAGTTTATCAAAACTCTGTGTTCATTTATATGGAGCTTATTCAGGGAGACACGCTCCATGATCGATGGGATTCTCTCAATGAGCTGGATAGGAACTTTATTTGCGGCCAGTTACGGGAGATTATTTCTTCCCTTCAGCAAATTGAGCCAGATCCTTGCGACTCATTTATTGGTATGCATGTATCCTGCAATGTCTATCAGCGGAGTCACTTACTGAGGTGTAGGATCCATCAACCGCGCATGTTTGCACGATTATGTCTTTGCAACCATCCCTCAATCAGGCCCTTTTAAAAATGTGAAAGCATTCAATGACTGGTTTTCTTCTCTGCCTCAAAGCTGGCTTCCTGATTCAAAGAGATATCGGGATCCTTATCGAGACTATCTACCAGACAATGGGGCCATCAGGTTGACTCATGGAGACTTGCATCGGGGCAATATTCTAATTTCACCAGCTGGTCGCCCACGTGTCCTTGCTGTAGTTGATTGGGCTCATGCTGGTTGGTACCCGGAATACTGGGAGTATTGCAAGGCCTTATACACATCAGACTATAAGGGGGAATGGCGCAATGTTTGGATTCCCAAATTCTTAACTGCGTACGAGCCTGAGTTTGCTGCTTTTGGTGAATATGTGCTGCAGATTGGAGCAGTGTAAGTATTGATGTTGTACTTAGCCTTCTAAATTACATTTGTCATGATCATTTACCGAGCTTTTCTTTCCAATATCCTTCATAAGCTATGTACTCGAGTGTGCTTCACCCTGTACTGATGATTGACCAGAGAAACAATTGCTAAATGCCAGAAACCAAAATGAAAAATGGGATTTACTAATAAGGGCCTCGTTGACCAGTTGAAACTCCGCAGTAGCTCATATCAGAAAACAAAAATAAGCAACATGATTCAAATTCAAACAGGGCCAGCCCAGTATCACAATCAACAGTAACAATTATGGCATTTCATTTCACATCCAATTATGCGCAAATTCCGAGTTCACTGACCCCTGCCTCGACCACGCCCGCCGCCAACCGGGTTCAAGCCAACACCGTGATTTGGAGGATCGCGTGCAGACTGAACAATCTGGATCGCATTTTCATTGAGATATTGATGGTGGACTAGACAGTGTACATAGTCCATTGTCCATTCTTGGCACCTTCTGTTGGTGGTCTAGATTTCTTTGGTGTAAGCAATTGTGCCCTATGTAAG